AATGTAGTGTGGATGGTGGGAGGAGAGTTGTCAGAGAATGTTTTCAGAAGTGAAAGTAACAATCTGTGGTATAAATCTGTGCTGTGAGCGGCTGGTCAGGGCTGATCTCTCAGATCTGGGCTCTACTCTATGTACTGATCACTTACAGGAAATGTGGCAGAATCTCCGGTGAGAAGAGGAAGTTTCTCTGTTGATGAAGATAGATGATCCATGGAATAGAGTCACCATACAAGAATGAATTACAGTCATATCTAATGTGTACATTTACTAGGAAGGGGCGTGACCGATATGAATTAAATGAGTCCGGTGTATATAGATTTTATAACATCGTCAGATATATATTTATATAATGAATGTCTGTACTTTATAAAATTTATTTTTGATGCCTTTGTATCATGTTGTATTCCTATGATTATTGCCTATACAGCATTCAAATGTTGTCGAAGTCTTGTTGTTTTGAACTAATATATGCATGTGATAATAAAGAAATGACTCCATTGTATATTGACAATGATATTACTTAGACCTTTTCCCTCACGTTGCACTCATTGGTCTGCACGGTCAGGTGATGGCGCTGACCAATGAGAAGCGCTTCTTAGCACGGTTAAATACAGTTTTGGTTAAAATGGCTTTTTGTATCGCGACAAGTAGATAATCCTGAGGAATCTTCTGATCAATCACATCACATGACTTGAGATGTCCACCAAGGTCCTCACAGTGCGGAGAGACCCACAGATCCATCTAATCCTGAGGAAACTTCTGATCAATCACATGACTTCAGATGTCCACCAAGGTCCTCACACTGCGGAGAGACCCACAGATCCATCTAATCCTGAGGAATGTTCTGATCAAACACATGACTTCAGATGTCCACCAAGGTCCTCACACTGCGGAGAGACCCACAGATCCATCTAATCCTGAGGAATGTTCTGATCAAACACATGACTTCAGATGTCCACCAAGGTCCTCACAGTGGGCAGAGATCAAGAGATGCATCAAATCCTGAGGAATCTTCTGATCAATCACATCACATGACTTGAGATGTCCACCAAGGTCCTCACAGTGCAGAGAGACCCACAGATACATCTAATCCTGAGGAAACTTCTGATCAATCACATGACTTCAGATGTCCACCAAGGTCCTCACAGTGGGCAGAGATCAAGAGATCCATCAAATCCTGAGGAATCTTCTGATCAATCACATGACTTCAGATGTCCACCAAGGTCCTCACACTGCGGAGAGACTCACAGATCCATCTAATTCTGAGGAATGATCTGATCAATCACATGACCAGATGTCCACCAAGGTCATCACAGTACGGAGAGACCCACAGATCCATCTAATCCTGAGGAATGTTCTGATCAATCACATGACTTCAGATGTCCACCAAGGTCATCACAGTACAGAGAGACCCACAGATCCATCTAATTCTGAGGAATCTTCTAATTCATCATATGACTTCAGATGTCCACCAAGGTCCTCACAGTACGGAGAGATGAACAGATCCATCAAATCCCAAGAAATCTCCTTCAAGCCATAAGGGAGTTCGCGACAAGAACGTGGTCTATTGTCATGTTGAGAGTGCGTGAAATCTTTCACTGAAAGCAAACACCAGAAAATTCATACGGGTGAGCATCCCTATTCAGGATTCAGAGCAGCTCCCTACACTTATCTCATAAGACAGTGACAGAATGTCGGTCCGTTACTCTGTATGGCTCAAGTGGTACTGTCAACGGTAAACCATGCATGAGACAGAGACATCCAAGAACAGCCCAAGAAGGGTCATACTGCACTTTTTTCCCGGCAAGGAAGCAAACACTGGAGGGCTTTGTAGAGCAAGACCAGAGCATAAAGCAAACGGAACATCTGCTTGTCCGAAACACTAAACTCGGGTCAGTTCTTGACCAACAGGGTGCCCCACTAATGGGTTTCCCCCAGACAGGCAGCTCGGGTACTTTTATAATGTTCTGTCAGCACTCGGCCTTTTCACCCAGCAGCGGAATCCCACAGCAATGAGGGCAAGAGGGAAAGCCCCGAGCATCAGCCATCTCACATGTCTAGGGCTGGGGACAGCTGAGACTAATAGGTCTAGCTACCAGGTAAGATGTGGACCTAGGAACAGAGGTTCTACAAAGACTTTGTGGCTCAAGGACCCAGAACTGGACCTATTAACAGTATGAGAAAACAAATTTGTATTCCCCAAGGGTGACAGCAGGCTGAGCGGAGCAGTGACGGTCGGCGGCTGGCAGGACACCAAGGCCTGTAGAGTTGAGGAACTGAACTGGGTAAGTAGGAACACCTGGATCTTGAAGGAGCAGATGAGACTTAGGACTCGGAAAGGGTGGTTCACTGAAGGAGTGAGCAGGTGGTGTGGGATCTCCTAGGGCAGGGGTGAGGAACTTCCAACCCTCCAGCTGTGGTCAAACTACAAATCCCATGATGCATCTGTCTCTGGGAGTTGTGGCTGTGTGAATCTTGCAATGCCTCAGAGGATTTGTAGTTCCACCACAGCTGGAGGTTCCCCACTCCTGCCCTAGGGCATAGAATCTAAAGGTCCAGACAGGGTTCACCAGGGAACGAGAGTGATGGGCTTTGCTGTGTGCTGACCTCAGGTCACCCTGCTGGAGCGCCATTGAGCAGAAGTCATGTAGTGAAAGGCAAAGGTCACCTGATAACAGTGCCAAGGTCAGCGTAGAAGACACGAATACCAGGGACTAGCAGAAGGTCAGGGCAGGTGGCAGACTACGATAACTTGTAAACAAAGGAGAAGTTTAGGGTTGATAGATGAGCCGAAGGTCAGGGAAGGCAGAGACTAGGATAGCTAGGAGATAAAGCCTACAGTCGGGAGACAAGAGACTAAGATAGCCAATAAATTAAGCTGAAGGACAAGTAAGGCAGGGCACTAGGATAGCCAAGAAATTAAACCAAAGGTCAGGTTTAGGCAAGGGACTAGGATAACCAGGAGACAAAGCCTAAGATCAGGGCAGGCTAGGGACTAGGATAAACAAGAAACTAACCCGAAGGCAGGGGACTAGGATAACCAGGAGACCAAGCTGAAGGTCAGGGCAGGCAAGGAACTAGGATAAACAAGACGGTCAGGGAAGGCAGGGGACTAGGATAACCAGGAGACAAAGCCTACGGTCAGGGCAGGCAAGAGACTAGGATAACCAGGAAACCAAGCTGAAGGTCAGGGCAGACAGAGGACTATGATAACCAGGAAACCAAGCTGAAGGTCAGGGCAGGCAGAGGACTAGGATAACCAGGAGACAAAGCCTACGGTCAGGGCAGGCAAGAGACTAGGATAACCAGGAAACCAAGCTGAAGGTCAGGGCAGACAGAGGACTATGATAACCAGGAAACCAAGCTGAAGGTCAGGGAAGACAGAGGACTAGGATAACCAGGAAACCAAGCTGAAGGTCAGGGCAGGCAAGAGACTAGGATAACCAGGAAACCAAGCTGAAGGTCAGGGCAGGCAGAGGACTAGGATAACCAGGAAACTAAGCTGAAGGTCAGGGCAGGCAGAGGACTAGGATAACCAGGAGACAAAGCCTACGGTCAGGGCAGGCAAGAGACTAGGATAACCAGGAAACCAAGCTGAAGGTCAGGGCAGACAGAGGACTAGGATAACCAGGAAACCAAGCTGAAGGTCAGGGCAGGCAAGAGACTAGGATAACCCGGAAACTAAGCCTCCGGTCAGGGCAGGCAAGAGACTAGGATAACCAGGAAACCAAGCTGAAGGTCAGGGCAGACAGAGGACTAGGATAACCAGGAAACTAAGCCTCCGATCAGGGCAGGCAAGAGACTAGGATAACCAGGAAACTAATGCTGAAGGTCAGGGCAGACAGAGGACTAGGATAACCAGGAAACTAAGCTGAAGGTCAGGGCAGGCAAGAGGACTAGGATAACCAGGAGACAAAGCCTACGGTCAGGGCAGGCAAGAGACTAGGATAACCAGGAAACTAAGCCGAAGGTCAGGGCAGGCAAGAGACTAGGATAACCAGGAAACTAAGCTGAAGGTCAGGGCAGGCAGGAGACCAGGATAACCAGGAAACTAAGCCGAAGGTCAGGGCAGGCAGCGGATTAGGATACCTAAGAAGCATAGCTATAGTTGGGTACATGGATTGGAAATTGATACCAGGAAAAAGTCCTCGGAGACATATCCAATGTCTACCATCCTGCCAGCCAGAGCCTCACTATATCTGTAAACATGTTGTATTTGGATTTTTAGCTTGCTTGTCATTATTTACTTTTACGTTTATAAATATTAAAACTTTATCGTATTGTTTTACATTTAATTTTTGTATATGTCTGGATTTTATCTGAGGTGTAATCTGTGCGGATGTAACGTAACAGGAGAACAGACCTCGAGGCAGCCGGTACCATGGTGAAACGTAACTTAGACTGCAGTATTTAGAGTCAACACACGGTGGTGACCTCACTTGGAACGCACATCACAGGAAGTGATGTCAGGTAGAGACAGGAAGTGAGGTAAGACAGACAGGAAGTGATATCGGCACATAAACAGGAAGTTCCAGGTGAAAGATGAATTGAAGCGAAGTAGAGAGGAGATATTTCTGGAACTGGCAGCAGAGGAGGTAATAAATAGGGATGAATACCACCGGCTATAGAGGACTACAAATCTCGGCAATACATTATACAGCAATTCAGAATCATGTGAGGCTCCATACTCTGTGCTGCTCCAGGGTGCCGGCCTGATGTCTCCAGTGGAGGATCTCAGGTGGCTGTGTGGTGGTCTCAGGAGGGCTGTGCGGGGTTCTCAGGATGGCTGTGCGGGGTTCTCAGGATGGCTGTGCGGGGTTCTCAGGATGGCTGTGCAGGGTTCTCAGGAGGGCTGTGCGGGGTCTCATGAGGGCTGTGCGGGGGTCTCAGGAGGGCTGTGCGGGGGTCTCAGGAGGGCTGTGCAGGGTCTCAGGAAACTTGTGCGAGTTCTATGGATGGGCTGTGCGGACTCTCAGGAGGCTGTGTGGGCTCTCAGATGGCTGTGCAGTGCACCAGATATAGAGGACTACAAATCCCAGCAATACATTATACAGCAATGCAGATTAATACAAGGCTCCATACTCTGTTCTACTCTGAGTTGCCAGCCTGATGTCTCCAGTGGAGGATCTCCGGTGGCTGTGCGGGGTCTATGGTGGGCTGTGCTGACTCTCAGGAGGCTGTGCAGGGTCCATGGTGGGCTGTGCAGGATCTTTGGTGGGCTGTGCGGGGTCTCAGGAGGGCTGTGCACGGTCTGTGGTGGGCTGTGCGGAGTCTATGGTGGGCTGTGCAGGATCTTTGGTGGGCTGTGTGGACTTTCAGGTGGCTGTTCGGGGTCTATGGTGGGCTGTGCAGGGTCTATGGTTTGCTGTCCGGACTCTCGGGTGGCAGTGCAGGGTCTATGGTGGGCTGTCCGGACTCTCGGGTGGCAGTGCAGGGTCTATGGTGGGCTGTCTGGACTCTCAGGAGGCTGTGCGGGGGTCTATGGTGGGCTCTCAGGTGGCTGTGCGGGGTCTATGGTGGGCTGTGCAGGGTCTATGGTGGGCTGCACGGACTCTCAGGTTGCTGTGCAGGGTCTATGTTGGGCTGTGTGGGCTCTCAGGTGGCTGTGGGGGTCTATGGTAGGCTGTGCAGGGTCTATGTTGTGCTGTGCAGTGTCTATGGTGGGCTATGTGGGCTCTCAGGTGGCTGTGCAGTCTCACCAGGGGTCCCAGTTGGTCTGGTGGGTGGCGTGGATCCACAAGAAGGAGGGCGGCCTTTATAACCCAGATACAGCCCAGGTAAAGAGCTTTTTTTCCAACTGTATACTGAAAGAAGCCCCAGGTCCGGAGGACATGGCCGCCCATTATTTAGACCTCGGACCCAGAGGTAGTTAAAGCTGACAGAGGGCACCCCAAATCTCCTCCTTGGCTTTGATGGCCTGACCCAGCCAAACGGAGGTCTGCACCTTTGCAATTTTGGCCGGGGGGAGGGTGGTCTCCGTGCTGTGAGGATAACGAGCTCTGCCTTGGAGGGAGGATTTGGGAGGGGCTTTGCTATAAGTTATAATGATCAGCAAGGCCGGTATATCATCTGTCTACAGAGATCAGCGACTTGTATGGATCACATGATCACATCAACGAGGATGTTCAAGGACCGGAGTCACATGACTGAGAGGATATTAAACCTCACCCTGGAGATCATCTACCTGCTGACCGGAGAGGTGAGGAGGATTCCGGGAGGGTCATATGATGTCTCTATTAATAATACTGAAACATGACCGGAGAGGTGAGGAGGATTCTGGGAGGTCACATGACATTACTGTTGCTTTCCCACACAGAGTTTTCCTCCGGTGAAGTCTGGTGACTATATAACCATCACAGTACCTTCACCTCAGACCATGAAAACCAAGAGGAGCAATGACAAGAAGATCGTGGAGGTCGCCAACAAGATCATTGAGCTGCTGACGGGAGAGGTGAGCGGTGCCGGGAATTCTGGGACATGATCCAGGAACAGACAAGGGGCGTGTCTGGGTGGTGACTGTATCATTGTGTGTGTCAGGTTCCTATAAGGCGTCAGGATGTCTCAATGGAGGAGCATTTAGAAGGACACCGGGATCCCTACAAGGACGTGGTGATGGAGAATGAGCCGCCCCTCACATCACCGGGTAAGAGGAGAGAGCAGTACGGAGGCTCCGCCTACATCCCCCATCATCTGATACACACATAGAAACAATGTATTCAGTCAGTGTGTGTGTTTCCTACAGATGGATCCAGTAAGAGGAGCCCACCAGAGAGATGTCCCCGTCCTCTGTATTCCCGGGATTCCACCCAGGAAGATCTCACCGTCTCACATAAGGTGAAATGGAGAAATAATAGCTAATAATGATACATTTTGACCAGTTTATTGGCCGTTGTCACAGTTCATCTACTTTTTATTAAATATTCAGGCTGCTTACAATCGTGCTGTTGTAGTAGAGATAAAAGAAGAAGAGGAGGAGGTTGGTTTGATGGAGGAGTTCTCAGAAGGACACAAAGACCTCTTCGGGGACATCATAATGGAGCCATTCAGTGACACAAACCCACCAGAGAGATGTCCCCGTCCTCTGTATTCCCGGGATTCCACACAGGAAGATCTCACCATCCCCCACCATGATCAGGTAGGTGGCACTCGGTGTATAGAACACAGAGGTGATTCTGAACTTCATAAGGCGACGTTCTTCTATGGAGTCTCTTGGTTTAACTTATGTTTTTACATCTGAATTGCAGCCTTTGGTTCCCTCCCGGAGTTCAGCTTTATGAGATGTTTTCTATTATTTGGGGGTTTAGGGTGAAGAACGGAACAATATAAAAGCTGAGATTAAAGAGGAAGAAGTGGAGACGTATGTGGGGGGTGACCGGCCGTCCACGGAGGAGGTCGGGATGATGATGAAAAGTGATCAGGATGACATTTCTCTACCGATCAACACAAGTAAGTAACAGACACTATGGAGGGAACAGGTCACAGCTCTATGTCACTTCTGAGTATCTCCATTCCTCAATATAACGTCATGTGACCAACAAAGGAGGAGGAGATACTGTACACCTTATGAAGGTCCATCTCCATTCCCCAATATAACGTCATGTGACCAACAAATGAGGAGATACTGTACACCATATGAAGGTCCATCTCCATTCCTCCATAGGGATAAAGGAGTTTTTGTCTCCTTTATCTGGTTGGTTTTCATATTTTGGGGTTACAATTGGACCCAATTCCATGCCAGAGCTCTGTGATGACTTCTAGACCAACATACATGACTCTGATTACTGACGTGTGTAATGATTTCTCTCCAGCAGATGGATGTGATGTCAGGAATACCTCGGAGAGACATCTTATATTATCTGCTGGTTGTAAGTCAGAAGATAATGTCATCACACAGGATTCTCCAGGAGTGAATCCAAACACACAGAATATACATCACAGACCTTCCTGTTTGGAGACATCAATGGATCCCTCTGATCAGGGTGAATCTTCTGACCATTCACATACTATGACTGGAAATATCCATCTAAGATCTCACACTGCAAGAGATCCATCTAATCCCAAGGAACCTTCCTCCCCCCATGAAGGAGATCACAGAGGCGAGGGTCTATACTCCTGTTTGGGGTGCGGGAAATCATTCAGGACAAAAGTTGAACTTCATATACATCTCCGATCCCATACCAGTGTAACTTTTACATGTTCTGAGTGCGGGAAATCTTTTAATAAGGAAATAGATTTTTTTGCACACCAGAGAATTCACACGGGTGAAGATCCTTACTCCTGTCCAGAGTGCGGGAAATTTTTTACTGATAAAAATAAGCTGCATCTACATCAGAAAACTCACACAGGAGATCATCCTTTTTCATGTTCAGAGTGCGGAAAATGTTTCACCGGGAAAAGCATACTTCAAACACACCAGAGAATTCACACGGGTGAGCGACCATTTTTATGCCCACAGTGTGGGAAAAGTTTCACTCAGAAAGTATGCCTTCTTTCACACCAGAGGCTTCACACTAGTGAGCGCCCTTTTTCATGTTCAGAGTGCAGGAAATCTTTTACCCGTAAAGGAGCCCTTGTTAAACACCAGAGAATTCACACGGGCGAGCGACCTTATTCGTGTTCAGAGTGTGGGAAAAGTTTCATTGAGAAAAGTGTACTCCTTTCACACCAGAGAATTCACACGGGTGAGCGTCCGTTTTTATGCACAGAGTGTGGGAAAAGCTTCACTCAGAAAGGAAGCCTTATTATACACCAAAGGCTCCACAAAAGCGAGAGACCTTTCTCTTGTTCAGAGTGCGGGAGAGCTTTCACTGTGAAAGCCAAGTTTCTTGCCCACCAGAGAAGTCACACAGACCACAGTCCCTATTCTTGCTCAGACTGCGGGAAATCTTTCAACCTGAAAGCCCAACTCGTTGCACATCAGAAAAGCCACACGGGCAAGCATCCTTTTTCCTGTTCAGAGTGCGGGATCTGTTTCTCGGATAAGGCAAACCTTCTCAGGCACGAGAGAAGTCACTCAAGTGAGCGGCCTTTTCCATGTTCTAAGTGCGGGAAAGGTTTTACACGTAAAGAAAATCTTATTAGACATCAGAGTACACACAGCTGTTGAAATTGTACTGTGGCATTAAACTGATGGATTTCCTCAACCCACGGAACAGCTATATGTTGAAAATTTATATTTATACATTCACATTATACATTTATAGCCTGGTCTGGTGGATAGTCACCTTCTGGTTCCTTATATTTCTTGGAGACCCCAGTGATGAGATTTTCCTACCACAGTTCCTGGCTCTCTCTCTATCCTCACATTGGGGTGTCCCCATGTCTCCATATTCCTCATAACTGACTGACTCGGACACCTCCCTGAACAGAGCTTATTGAGGTCTAAAAGCTCAGACCACATTTGGCCGCCGTGGTACCCAAACTAGAACTTTGAAACGTATGGGTCGGTTTGATATTGTGCCTCAGGACTTGTATTGGACATAGTGGAGTCACAAAGCGGAAATGGCGGTGGTCAATTATGTCTTCTTTTTCCACCCCAAGATGGTGGCAAACATATCCAAAATCTCATCCAAGGAACACCTATTGGTTGGTTGCTACTCGTTGCTCGTTCTGCTTTACTGAAGAAGCTGCCCTGTCGCTGGACCAGACAAATGATGATTTTTTAATAGATCAGATATATTTTCATATTTTAATGTGATTCAAAATACAAAATGTGATACAAATTAATACTTCTGTGTTATTATTCTACATGTTACAGGATTCTGTTCTGGAAAGAGTTCGGTTCATAGAGAGTCCTCCATTGGTGATGGGAATGAGCTCGGTTCATAGAGAGTCCTCCATTGGTGATGGGAATGAGCTCAGTTCATAGAGAGTCCTCCATTGGTGATGGGAATGAGCTCAGTTCATAGAGAGTCCTCCATTGGTGATCGGAATGAGCTCAGTTCATAGAGAGTCCACCATTGGTGATGGGAATGAGCTCAGTTCATAGAGAGCCCTCCATTGGTGATGGGAATGAGCTCAGATCATAGAGAGTCCTCCATTGGTGATGGGAATGAGCTTGGTTCATAGAGAGTCATCCATTGGTGATCGGAATGAGCTCGGTTCATAGAGAGTCCTCCATTGGTGATTGGAATGAGCTCAGTTCATAGAGAGTCATCCATTGGTGATCGGAATGAGCTCGGTTCATAGAGAGTCCTCCATTGGTGATTGGAATGAGCTCAGTTCATAGAGAGTCATCCATTGGTGATCGGAATGAGCTCGGTTGGGAATGAGCTCGGTTCATAGAGAGTCCTCCATTGGTGTTCTGTTAGTGAGATGGAGTGTCCAGAAGGTCCAGTTCCACACATGTGTGTCAGCTGATATATATAATGATTCATGGAGCCACCACCCAAGCCACATAGAATATGCACGTCGCTGCCATCTTGGTTCTCCTCATGGTCACAGTGATCGGCTTCATCATTTCACAGTCATGACCTTCTTCAGTCATACAGAGATCATCAGTAATTTACAGAGAATGTCCACATCATGTGATCCGTCTCCTCATCACCACAGTGGCTATTCAGATTATATTCTTCACCGCAAAACAAAGTATGTTTGGGACACATTCTGATTGGTTCCTCAGTGAATATTCCCCCAAATAATGGTTATGGTTTTTTTTAAACTATACAGCTGACCAACACATATGGTGACCTGGAGGCGTTTTGTATACAGTTGGTGTACAGAACACACCTAAAAATGTCGTCATGCCACGCAGCTTCCTGATTGGCCTCCTCGTCACCAGGGAGCATGGAGCTGGCTTCCTGGCCAATCAGGAAGTCCCCCTCCCAGGCTTCTTGATTGCTTGGGAAGCTGGCCAATGATGAGGAAGCCTGGTGGCAAGTCATTACCCGCCCCCTGGCTTCCTGCTTGGCCAGAAAGCCGGTCCAATGCTTCCTCATTTCCTGGTGAGGTAGCTTTGAGTCGGCTTCCGGGCCAATCAGAAAGCCGGCCGCCGTGTAATGACTTGCAGCCCGGCTTCCTGATTGCTTGGGAATCCTGCCAATTAAGAAGCCAGGCGTCGATTCATTACCCACCCCCCAGGCCTCCGGATTGGCCGGAAAGCCAGCTGCATGCTTCCTCGTCACCTGGGGAGGGAGGTGTTCCCAGTTGTGTGTCAGGAGGGAGGTGATCTAGGGTTGCCAGCTGTCCAGGATTCACCCGGACAGTCCGGGTTTTGAATGCTGTGTTCGGTTTTTATGGCGGCAGAAACCCGGACACATGATGTCAGGCAGACAGGGGCAACCAAAATTAAGATAAGGCTACTGGCCCCCCACTGAAATTAGTCTCAACTGTAATATTTACATATGAATGGGCGGCGCTATGTACATATGAATAAGCCACGACTCATTCTCCCCCCAAAAATGTCTGCACGTGGCTAGTGTGTTCGGGTTTCGCTTGAAGAAAAGGGTTTCGCTTGAAGAAAAGGTGGCAACCCTAAGGTGATCACGTACCTGAGGATGGGACCGGAAGACGAGGAGGCCTCTCTGGCGACTCGTGTCCTGCGACCCCTGGAGTTGGGGGACAGGAGGACGCAGGGCAACGAGGAGCACGAGTGTCGCAGGCTGGAGACAAGACGCCGTGCAGGAGACTTTTTGTAGAGAGGTCAGCAGGCCAAGGGTCAAGCCGGGCGGGCAGCGTAGGAGCAGACTCAGGAGCCACAAGTCGAGGGAGCCAAAGGCCAGATCCAGCCGGGCAGCGATGTACAAAATCAGTAGACTAGAGCAAATCCAGAGAACAGGCCGGGGTCAGGGGCAGGCAGCAATCAGAAGAGTAGTCCAGGTCACTCCAAGTCACGCAGGTCATAAGTGGATAGCAGAAGCACAGGTAACCGGCAACACAAGCTGACCAGACCATCAGCAATGAGAGGCAGGCAGGCTCGTCCTTATATAGTCACTGAACTAAGGCAGCTACCTCACTTCCTGTGCGCCATCCGTCTGCGCAACTCGCGCATGCGCACTATGGCACGCTTCCCACGATTCGGCTTTCGGGCATGCGCGTCCGTCATTTTGCCTTTATACAGAGGTGATCTGGGATCTAGACAATGATGGTGGCTTGGTTGCTACACAAGTACAATGTGCGCAGGAGGAGGAGCTACAGGAGACGAGGACAACCCGGCAGCATTAAAGCGGAACTTAATATATCAGGCCCCCTTCTCCGTCACACGCGAAAACATTCCTCCCAATTTTCTGAGACGAGACACCTTCCAGCCCAATGTACTTCGGTGATGGACAAACCCACGCCCTGCCCGTAGTTATGCTGATTATTAAGAATTTGTGCCGAAAATGATTGGTTGAAGCCAGATTTGGTTGCTTTTCCCTTATTTTCTGCTTTTGAAATAGAAAACAAGATAATGAAGAGACGAGATGAAGGGTTTTGGTAGTTAAATGGAACATAGTCAGGGATCTGAAGTAGCAGCTCTGGTGTGAGTCAGAGACGCGGAATCCCCTGGGGGCGCGGAGTGTAGGCAACCAGCCGGTCTTCTCCAGAGCTGCTGATGGCGGAGATGGAATCTGCTGCGTACTGGTGCCGGATCCCGACCCCCTCCCCCTCCAGGTTCTCCCTTCAGCGGGTGTGAAGGCAAGTCAGAAGATACTGAGAAAAGACAGAATAGAGGTGGACAGAGACCAGAGAATATCCGGGAGACAGGCGAAAGGTCAGGGCTGGCAGCAGACAGGAGAATCCGAGAGGCAAGGTTGGGGGTCGATAGACAGAAGGTCAACCGAAGGAAACAGGAAGCAGAACCGGGGCAAAGGCACAGCCGGGCGCTTCGGGGTGACGGGGGCGATTCACAGGCAAAGGAAGCTGGTCTGAGAAGTATTTAAATCAAGAGGCTGGACAGGAAGTAGCCAAGAAGCAAGGTGTACTAAGCATCAGGTGTGGTGGACAACGCCCATAGCTGCTAAGGCTGGGCACACACCTTACAACCATCGCAAGACTTTTGTCTTGCGATGGTTTTAAGGTACTTTAAAAAACGTACGATCTGCCTATCTTGCATAGGCAGATCGTACTTGCGATGATCGCAAGCCACGCCCCCTGAGGGGCGGGCTTTCCGATGACCGCAATGCCGAACGGGCAGTGTGCGCCCGTACGGCTGTTATCGTACGGACACGCCACAAACCCGCCGAACGTCGTACGAGGCTCGGCGGGTTTTCGAACATGTCCGTAAGTTTAAAGTCGTGCGACCGTACAGTAGTAGAGGCCGCACGGCTTCCGCACACCTGACGATAATCGTACGATCGCGGGATTTCCCCCGATTATCGTAAGGTTATCGTAAGGTGTGTGGGGACCTTAACTCTGGAGCAAGAGCAGAGCACAAGCTTGTAGGACCAAAGGCTGACCCACACTAGGGTTGCCACCTAGTCCCGGATTCACCGGGACAGTCCGGGTTTTGACTCCTGTTTGTGCTGTGTCCGGCCTGAAACCCAGAAAAAGCACATTCAGGACTCAAAACCCGGACTGTCCAGGTGAATCCGGGACCAGGTGGCAACCCTGAACCACAGCGACTCCGCTGCTGATCTGTGACCAGATATTTTTTATAGATGTTCAGTCTTAACTAAATATAACGTGAACGCGTCATAATGGATGCAACGCAATGGAAGAGCGAGGGAGCGGGCGGCGGGCACAATATTGAAACATGAAGGAAGATGCCGATCTAAAATCGCCAGAAGATGGAGACATCACTTGTGTGTAGACTGTTCAGACAGGAAGTGATGTAAGATAAGGAAAAAGACAGGAAGTTCCATGTGGGAAGTACAGGAAGTAGAGATCAGACGTTGCCAGAGTAACCAGAGGAGGTAATATGTTTTGTATTTACACCCAACAATCCCTCTCGTGTCCTTCCTCTTCCTAAATATAGAGCCATTTATCCAACTGTCCACCCAGAGCTGCCATTTATAGACCGGATACATCCTAAATATAGAACCATTTATCCAACTGTCCATCCAGAGCCGCCATTTATAGACCGGATACATCCTAAATATAGAGCCATTCATCCAACTGTCCATCCAGAGTTTTGCACGTCCTCACTATGGGGCAGAGGGTTTCAAATGAATCTCCACTTGTCTATGAGCTGTAATGATCAGAAAGGCCGGTATATTATTAGTCTACAGAGTTCGGAGTCTCATGATGATCACATCATTGAGGATGGAGAAGTACGGGAGTCATATGACTGAGAAGATATTAAACCTCACCCTGGAGATCATTTACCTGATGACCGGAGAGGTGAGGAGGGTTCTGGAAGGGTCGCATGACTTCAATCTTATCTGACTTGATAAAACAGAGACCCAACCAGAGGGTTGAGGAGGATTCTGGGAGGTCACATGACATATTGCTTTTTCAAAAAATCAGAGTTTTCCTCCGGTGAAGTCTGGTGACCGTTTAACCATCACAGTGCCTTCACCTCACTCTATGAAACCCGAGAGGAACAAGGCCAAGAAGATTCTAGAAGTCACCAAGAAGATCATTGAGCTGCTGACGGGAGAGGTGAGCGGTGCCGGGGATTCTGGGACATGATCCAGGAACAGACAAGAGATGTGTCTGGGTGGTGACTGTATCATTGTGTGTGTCAGGTTCCTATAAGGTGTCGGGATGTCTCTGTCTATTTCTCCATGGAGGAGTGGGAGTATCTAGAAGGACACCGGGATCTCTACAAGGACGTGGTGATGGAGAATGCCCCGCCCCTCACATCACGGGGTAAGAGGAGAGAGCAGTACAGAGGGTCCATCTACATCCCCCATCATCTGATACACACATAGAAACAATGTATTCAGTCAGTGTGTGTGTTTCCTACAGATGGATCCGGTAAGAGGAACCCACCAGAGAGATGTCCCCGTCCTCTGTATTCCCGGGATCCCACCCAGGAGGATCTCACCATCCCCCACCATGATCAGGTAGGTGGGACTCGGTGTATAGAACACAGGAGTCATTCTGAACTTCTATGTAGTCTCATGTTTCCTTTCATCTATGAAGAGCGGCTTCTCCTGTAAGCCAGTCAAAGCAAAAACAGTGGGCGAGTGTAGATGGACCTTTAGAAGCCCCCTTTTCCTTGCGGCACGAAGGCCTACTGGTACTGGGTTGCCCCTAGGACTTAACGCATGAAGCTCTGTACTGTTTCTTGCTACGGACTGATAAGGTTTAAGTTAGGTGTCTCCCAAGGAGCCAATCCCAGAGCTCGGTGGGATTGGCTCGGAAACTGACAAGGGAGTGGAGGAATATAATGTGTACCCATGAGTAAGAGCTGAGTGGAACCAGAAGCCTCCATCCCCTCGCCCAGCAACCAGGATGTTAGCCAAGGAGAGGAGGGGCAGAGCAGCGAAGAAGACTCTGGATGGAGAAGCTCCTGCTTCCCGTTGCCTAGCAATTGAGACGCAAGTTGATGGTAGTAGAAGTAGAGCCGGCACCAGACAGTGAGGGTCATTGCAGGACACTCTGGACTCGTCTTATCAGCGAGTTCCTTGGTAGAGCTGCAGCACAGCAGAATGGCTCCTTGTACTGCTTCTTCTCACCCAATCTGAGCTCTGCTGTACAGGACTGCAAAAGGCTCTTAGCAGGTCCCATTCAGGTCCATACACAGCTTGGAAACAAAACTCAATGATCTATTCATGAATACAGAGCTGCGTTCCTTTGTGTCGGGATTCCACACAGGAAGATCTCACCATCCCCCGCCATGATCAGGTAGGTGGCACTCGGTGTATACAACACAGCGGTGATTCTGAACTTCATAAGGCGACGTTCTTCTATGGAGTCTCTTGGTTTAACTTATGTTTTTACATCTGAATTGCAGCCTTTGGTTCCCTCCCGGAGTTCAGCTTTATGAGATGTTTTCTATTATTTGGGGGTTTAGGGCGAAGAACGGAACAATATAAAAGCTGAGATTAAAGAGGAAGAAGTGGAGACGTATGTGGGGGGTGACCGGCCGTCCACGGAGGAGGTCGGGATGATGATGAAAAGTGATCAGGATGACATTTCTCTACCGATCAACACAAGTAAGTAACAGACACTATGGAGGGAACAGGTCACAGTTCTATGTCACTTCTGAGTAGAAGGTGTGACGTTTAAGGGATCATGTTGGAGAATTATCAGATCTTCACATCATCAGATAAGATGAGACTGAATTATAAATGGTGGACCATCAACGTTGGGAAGAAGATTCACCAGAAGAAGTCATCTCTCCTATTGTAGGATGAAGGGGTCGTCATCTCCTGATTAGTGTTAGGACGGTTGGGGGTCATTTACAACAAATAAACTCTCATCAAATGTTCTACATACACATGTTGGGTCCATTGTCATGGAGGAACGATGGTTCTGAGGTCTTTGTCAATCACGTTTCTTCAAGACTGTGCCAACATTCTTCAATACAGAGAATTTCCCATTCTTTAGAAAGAGAAGGATTGACAGATACATAGTTCATGACATTGGAAATAAGACATATGTCCATAGAGTTCAAACAAAAGACATCTTAAACATGTGACCAACAAATGAGGAGGAGATACTGTACACCATATGAAGGTCCATCTCCATTCCTCAATATAACGTCATGTGACCAACAAATGAGGAGGAGATACTGTACACCATATGAAGGTCCATCTCCATTCCCCAATATAACGTCATGTGACCAACAAATGAGGAGGAGATACTGTACACCATATGAAGGTCCATCTCCTTCCCCCCATAGCGGTCATGAATGAACAGTACAATGGTCTCCAGGGGGTCAGAGGTGTTTTGGGGGTTTTGTCTCCTTTATCTGGTTGGTTTTCATATTTTGGGGTTACAATTGGACCCAATTCCATGCCAGAGCTCTGTGATGACTTCTAGACCAACATACATGACTCTGATTACTGACGTGTGTAATAATTTCTCTCCAGCAGATGGATGTGATGTCAGGAATACCTCGGAGAGACATGTTATATTATCTGCTGATTGTAAGTCAGAAGATAATGTCATCACACAGGATTCTCCAGGAGTGAATCCAAACACACAAAATATACATCACAGACCTCACTGCTCAGAGACATCAATGGATCCCTCTGATCAGGGTGAATCTTCTGATCTACTACATACTATAATTGCCAACATCCATTTAGGATCTCACAGTGGACATAGATTACCAGATCCATCTAATCCCAAGGAAGCTTCCTCACCCCATGAAGGAGATCACAGAGGTGGGGATCCATTCTCATGTTTAGGATGTGGAAAATCTTTCATTGAAAACAAAAACATTTCTGCACACCAGAGGAATCGCACCAGGGAGCGTCCTTTTTCCTGTTCAGAGTGTGGAAAATGTTTCACTCGGAGAGGAACACTATACAAGCACAAGATAATTCACACAGGTGAGCGTCCCTATTCATGTTCACAGTGCGGGAAATCTTTCACTTATAAAGGAGACCTTGTTAGACATCAGAGAATTCACATGGGTGAACGTCCTCATTTATGTTCAGAGTGCGGGAAAACCTTCACTTATAAAGGAGACCTTGTTAGGCACCAGAAAATTCACACAGGTGAACATCCTTATTCATGTTCAGAGTGCGGGAAATGTTTTGCTAAGAAAGATCACCTTGTTACACACCAAAGAATTCACACCGGTGAACGTCCTTATTCATGTTCAGAGTGCGGGAAATCTTTCACTTATAAAGGAGACCTTGTTAAACACCAGAGACTTCACACGGGTGAGCGTCCTTTTTCATGTTCAGAGTGCGGGAAATCTTTCAATTATAAAGGAGACCTTGTTAAACACCAGAGAATTCACACGGGTGAGCGTCCTTATTCATGTTTAGAGTGCGGGAAATCTTTCAATTATAAAGGAACTCTTATTAAGCACCAGAGAATTCACACGGGTGAGCGTCCTCATTCATGTTCACAGTGTGGGAAAAGTTTCACTTATAAAGGAGACCTTGTTAAACACCAAAAAATTCACACGGGTGAACGTCCTTTTTCATGCTCAGAGTGCGGGAATGCCTTCACTTATAAACGAAACCTTGTTATGCACCAGAGAATTCACATGGGTTAATGGCCTTATTCATGTTCAGAGTGCGGACAATGTTTCACCGAGAAAAAGTTGCTTCTTGCTCACCAGAGAAATCACACCGCGGAGCATCTTGACTGTGTTTAGAGTGTGGGAAAAGCTTTACAAGTGTGGATGGTGGAGGAGAGCTGTCAGAGAATGTAGTGTGGATGGTGGAGGAGAGCTGTCAGAGAATGTAGTGTGGATGGGGGAGGAGAGCTGTCAGAGAATGTAGTGTGGACGAGAGCTGTCAGAGAATGTAGTGTGGATGGTGGAGGAGAGCTGTCAGAGAATGTTGTGTGGATGGTGGGAGAGAGCTGTCAGAGAATGTAGTGTGGATGGTGGAGGAGAGCTGTTAGATGTTTCTAGAGCACTAATTGTGTTTCAGATTTTATTAGTAATTTAATTAAAGGTCATGTCCTTTTCCTCTGTTCCTTGTACCCTTAAAAGAACAATTACTGGATGATCTTGTCTCAGTTTGTCATTTGTTGTCAGGGATGCTAAATTTACCTGCAGTTTTGGAGTTGCTCTGACCCAGTCGTCAAGACATTACAATTTGGTCCTTGTCAAAGTCCCTCAAATCCTCACACTCCTGTTACGTGATCCAGTTCCGAGAGATCTCGGTGCCATCCTGGTCCTGCAGACTCAACAGCTGGTCCAACGCACTCAAGTGCCGATACGAAACCTGGCCAGCCACTATTGCCTGTGCCTCTCCCCGTCCTTACATCTCCTGACACCATCTCCAGAGGTGAGGGACGAGAGGTTCTCAGGTGGCCCCCTTCTCAGTTGGGTCTCCATTCAGGTAGGTGACAAAGCCAAAATGGAGAACCGCATGTCACAAGATCTGTCTTTTCCTTTGCTCTGGTACAGATATTTGGATGTGTGGGAAGAAAGCTCTGGACTTGCGTGGTCATGGTTATTCTCTTGGTGTTTCTCATCCAGCAGTAGTTAAGTGATGTGATTCCGGGTGATCTAGGTAACGGGTAGTCATCTGCCGCAATACAAAAGACCCCCATGGTACCCTCGGCTTGATGTTGAGCACAGTAGATGCGGAATTGAAACCCCACACCAATTAAAATAATCCAGATACAACTTTATTTCATTAGAGTTAGAGGGACATCCAAGTGGAGTAGGCAACACCCCGCCCCCTCCCCCCCCAGCTTCAGCACTCATGAAGGGAACATCGGTATTAAAATATAACAATACCAAACGGACTTTCTAGAGGTCTAAACATAAGTTATGGGACCTGTATAAATATAATAAATGATTGCCGTGAGATATAAAGTTACTGGATACATCAGAAATATTGACGGGCCAGGCTGTGCATGCTGGTGGAGTTATCAAAAATCTGAGGCACTTCCTAGACCATGGTCTTCCCTCCAAAGGTTTTCATCCTGGGAAGATGTATCTGTGGCCTTCAGTCTAGTCCCAGAGGACCTAGGGTTATGGGAAGGTGTAGGGTTCTGGGTGTCCCTAGGTTACTGGCTCCCGTGGAGTGCTGTGAGGTCGTGAGGAAACAGAGCTTCAGTTGTCCCCACGTGGAGGTGGAGAGTGACTGAGTTAGGAAGCTATAGAGGAATCTTCCCATTGCTGTCCTTCCATAACTTGAACTCTAAGACTGAGCATACCCAGGACGCCAGTGGTCTCAGTGGTCAAGAAGCCAACAAGAAGAGTCCAGTCCATAAAGCCCTGTGATACAGGGACGCTAGAAGACTACACAGAAGACCAAAGGACTCTGCTTTGATGTAGACCTACAGGAACCCTGTGTCCCCTTACCCTCCTTCCCTTCTATTCTTCATGTATGCGCTATTAAATTTCCAAACATCAAAGTGACGGGCGCCCATCATTTCTCCCATCCAATGACAAGAACCAAAGTGACTGGCGTCCATCATTCATCCCATCCAATGACAAGAACCAAAGTGACTGGCGTCCATCATTCCTCCCATCCAATGACAAGAACCAAAGTGACTGGCGTCCATCATTCCTCCCATCCAATGACAAGAACCAAAGTGACGGGCGCCTATCATTCATCACATCCAATGACAAGAACCAAAGTGACGGGCGCCCATCATTCCTCCCATCCAATTACAAGAACCAAAGTGACTGGCCTCCATCATTCCTCCCATCCAATGTCAAGAACCAAAGTGACGGGCGTCCATCATTCCTCCCATCCAATGACAAGAACCAAAGTGACGGGCGCCCATCATTCATCACATCCAATGACAAGAACCAAAGTGACTGGCGTCCATCATTCATCCCATCCAATGACAAGAACCAAAGTGACTGGCGTCCATCATTCCTCCCATCCAATGACAAGAACCAAAGTGACGGGCGCCCATCATTCATCCCATCCAATGACAAGAACCAAAGTGACTGGCATCCATCATTCCTCCCATCCAATGACAAGAACCAAAGTGACTGGCGTCCATCATTCCTCCCATCCAATGACAAGAACCAAAGTGACGGGCGCCCATCATTCATCACATCCAATGACAAGAACCAAAGTGACTGGCGTCCATCATTCATCACATCCAATGACAAGAACCAAAGTGACGGGCGCCCATCATTCATCACATCCAATGACAAGAACCAAAGTGACTGGCGCCCATCATTCATCACATCCAATGACAAGAACCAAAGTGACTGGCGTCCATCATTCCTCCCATCCAATGACAAGAACCAAAGTGACTGGCGTCCATCATTCCTCACATCCAATGACAAGAATCAAAGCTATTGGGGCAGCTCACCTGCCGCCAGATCACTTCTATATGCCGATCAAGGGTCCGCCCCCTGTCGAGTTCCCCGGGCTCCGCTGCCCCCCCTGTGGGCCCAGGATCAGCATATCGGGTGCCGGCAGGAAGTTGTGGAGGAGAGCGGTGAATGTCTGCTTGCCGTTCTCCTCCCCCTTGTATTATTATTTAAAGGGGAAAGGTGACCACTTGGAGTCTTTTGGACCCCCAGTATCACCTTAAAGAGGACCTGTCACTGCTAATATGCTATCACATTCCGATGACCGCAATGCTTGCGCACACCGGCCCGTGCGGCTTTTATCTTGCGACCATTTGCCACAAGGCCACAAACGTGCCACAAATCGTATGATTTTCGGCGGGTTTTCGAACATGTTCCTAAGATGAAAGTAGTCCGACCTTACAGTAGCAGAGGTCGCACACGCCTTCCACACACCTTATCATAATCGTACGATCGCGGGATTACCCGCGATTAGCGCAAGGTGTGTGGGCACCTTCAGAGCTCTGGGTGGGATGAGATCTCCAGTCCTATGTTGCCTGGGCTGATCAGGTGGCTGAGAGCAGCCTCATTAGGAAGCCGGCCCAGTGCTCAGAGGAGGGTTGTGGGTGTGCAGGAGGGGGGCACACGCAGACTCGGGTGCGTGCGGGACGCACACGGAACAGCCGAGGGAGGCTGGGAGAGCTCAGGAAGGTCGGTGACCCTAGGACCGCTGGGACACACTGCTGAGAGAGCAGATTGAGGGCTCACGAGGGGTGAGCAGTGTGAGTTTTTACTTGCACCTCCTGTCTACAGTGGAGTGTCCTTGTTACACTATTAACACTTTTATTTCTGAAACATTCTCACTTTACAGCATTACAGCACCCCTGCCGAAAACCTCTGCACAGTCCTGTATGAGTGATTTATTTCTATAGTGTGTGTAATTATGGAGGAAACATCCGAGAGGAATGGACCACGAGGCCCCAGACATAACGAAGAAGAAACATAACCTGGTCTGCAGTATTTGAATTCAACACAAGGTGGTGATCTCACGTGGAAGCCACCTACAGGAAGTGATGTAATGTACAGACAGGAAGTGATGTAAGGTACAGATAGGAAGTGGCATAAGGGAAGACAGGAAGTGATGTAGGCTAGACAAAAGATGTTCTAGGTATAGCTCAACTCATGTGAGTGCGAGATAGTAAAGAGGAGACATTGCTGGAAGTGGGAGCAGAGGAGGTAATGAGATATTATTATTTATCCAACTGTCCATCCAGAGCCGCCATTTATAGACCGGATACATCCTAAATATAGAACCATTTATCCAACTGTCCATCCAGAGCCGCCATTTATAGACCAGATACATCCTAAATATAGAGCCATTTATCCAACTGTCCATCCAGAGCCGCCATTTATAGACCGGATACATCCTAAATATAGAACCATTTATCCAACTGTCCATCCAGAGCCGCCATTTATAGACCAGATACATCCTAAATATAGAGCCATTTATCCAACTGTCCATCCAGAGCCGCCATTTATAGACCGGATACATCCTAAATATAGAGCCATTTATCCAACCATCCATCCATCCAGAGCCGCCATTTACCGGATACATCCTAAATATAGAGCCATTTATCCAACTGTCCATCCAGAGCCGCCATTTATAGACCGGATACATCCTAAATATAGAGCCATTTATCCAACTGTCCATCCAGAGCCGCCATTTATAGACCGGATACATCCTAAATATAGAGCCATTTATCCAACTGTCCATCCAGAGCCGCCATTTATAGACCGGATACATCCTAAATATAGAGCCATTTATCCAACTGTCCATCCAGAGCCGCCATTTATAGACCGGATACATCCTAAATATAGAGCCATTTATCCAACTGTCCATCCAGAGCCGCCATTTATAGACCGGATACATCCTAAATATAGAGCCATTTATCCAACTGTCCATCCAGAGCCGCCATTTATAGACCGGATACATCCTAAATATAGAGCCATTTATCCAACTGTCCATCCAGAGCCGCCATTTATAGACCGGATACATCCTAAATATAGAGCCATTTATCCAACTGTCCATCCAGAGCCGCCATTTATAGACCGGACACATCCTAAATATAGAGCCATTTATCCAACTGTCCATCCAGAGCCGCCATTTATAGACCGGATACATCCTAAATATAGAGCCATTTATCCAACTGTCCATCCAGAGCCGCCATTTATAGACCGGATACATCCTAAATATAGAGCCATTTATCCAACTGT